GACAAGTGTTTGTCCAGCCGCTGCTTGAAGACTGCCAGCGAGGGGGAGCTCACCACCTCTCTAGGCAGCTGATTCCATTATTGCAGAACTCTAAACTGCAAAAAACGTTTTCTCTAATATCCAGCTGCAGGAGACATTTCCTGCAGGGGCGCACAGGAGCAGAGCTCCGGCAGTAAAGAGCCCAGGGGGCGGGCACATGCAACAAGCCCCGCCCCCTGCTTCCAGCAGCCCTCAGTCAGAGCAAGAAACAGCCAGGTAAGTTGCAGAGCCCCCACCACCACCACCCCCGGCCCAAAACAGTCCAGTGGCACCTTTAAGACCAAGTTTTATTCAGGTACAAGCTCTCCCTCCTCTTTGAGGACAGAACTGCACATTCCCCCCCTCCCGATAGCTAGCAGTCCAAAACAGTCCAGTGGAGCCTGAGCGATGGGTGTTGCCTTCTGACACACTTCCGGTGATGTCAGGGGGTGTGGCATAAGTTATGCTAATTAGCTCTTGCACCTCTTTTTCTACAAAATGACCCCTGTCCACCTGGTGCCTTCCTGCCCTGAATTTAAACCCATTCTTGCGAGCCCTATCCTCTACTGCCAACAGGAACAGTTCCCTGCCCTCCTCCAAGTGACAGCCCTTCAGATATTTCATGAGAGCAATCCTGTCCCCCCCTCCACCTCCTCTTCTCCAGACTGGACATTCCCAAGTCCCTCAGCCTTTCCTCGCAGGGCTTGGTCTCCAGGCCCCCGATCATCCTCATCGCTCTCCTCTGCACCCGCTCCATTCTGTCCACACCCTTTCTGAAGTGAGCCCTCCAGAAGTGTACACAAGACTCCGGGGGTAGGGGAGAGGAACCTGGCAGGGTTTGGGGAGGGGAGGGACTTCAACAGGGCATAATGCCATAGAATCCACTCTCCAAAGCTGCCATCTTCTCCAGGGGAATGGACCTCTGGAGATCAGTGGTCATTTTGGAGAGATCCAGCCCCTACCTGGAGGTTGGCAACCTTATCCTTTCCAGGACCCCAGTCAGCCGATTTTATTTATTTATTTATTCAGTTCATAGACTGCCCTCCCCTATGCACAGGGGTCCAGGCTATGAACAATTCCAACAATACCTTTCAATAAATACAGTTAAAACAGCAAACAACTCAAGAGCTATTCAGATGGTGTTTAAAAAAACCATCCTCACCCCATGAGGGAGAGAGGAACGATGTGGGGCGGGGGCAGGCTTGATGACAGACCATTGCTGTCTTCAGGGGTCATTGCGTAGAAAAAGAGGTGCAGGAGCTCATTCGCATAACTCATTAGCATAGCTTATTTGCATAGGCCACACGCCCTGGAAGTGTGTCAGAAGGAACCCCCCACTGCTCAGGCTCCACTGGACTGTTTTGGATTGCTAGCTATTGGGGGGGGGGAACGTGCAGATCTGCCCTCACAGAGGAGGGAGAGCTTGTACCTGAATAACACTTGGGTCTTAAAGGAGCCACTGGACTGTTTTGGATTGCTAGCTGTGGGGGGACGTGCAGATCTGCCCTTGCAGAGGAGGGAGAGCTTGTACCTGAAGGCGGGCCGGGGGGGGGGCTCTGCAACTTACCTGGCTGCTTCTTGGTCCTCGTGGCCCAACTGAGGGCTGCTGGGAGCAGGGGGCGGGGCTTGTTGCATGTGCCCGCCCCCTGGGCGCCTTACTGCCGGAGCTCCGCTCCTGTGCCCTCCCGCAGGAAACGACCCCTGGCTGTCTTCAACCACAGGCCTGGTGGGACATCTTTGGCTTACAAGCCCTGTGGAACTGCCTGAGGTCCCACAGGGCACGGATGTCGTTAGGCAGAGAGTTCCAGAAAAGGCCCTGGGCTCTGGTTGAGGGCAGCCGGATATCTTTCGGGCTAGGGACCACCAAGAGGTTCTCCTCTCCAGAGCATAATGCTCTTTGGGGGATATAACAGGAGAGGTGAAGGGGATATTCAATTCAATTCAATTCGATTTATTACGATCAAAGACCAGCAAATACCTTAAAATGTTACATATAATTAACAGAAAAATACAGCCAGACAGTTGGTACAGGTAAAAAATTTAGTTAAGACAACGTGGATTTTAAAATTTCCTAAGAAGTCATCGTCTTCTGTCTGGTTAGGATAGCCATATAGCACAAAATCTTGCTGCTTTAGCAGTAGTATCATTGCAAATATCAGCAAAAAGAAGAGTAGGATAAAACTGATTAGACCTGCCTGGGTAGGCGACGATTATTGGCATAATCTATTTAGAACGAACGTCGTGATGGAATTCGCAAGATAAGAGAACGTGCTCAGTTGTCTCGACCAGTCCGGAATCACAAGGACAGAGTCGGCTTGCCTAAAGATATAGCTATATATAAAGTTCCTTGGTGGTCTCCCATTCAGGCACCACCGACCATCTTGCTGGGTCACGACCCCTTCATCGATTTAGGGACCACCAACAAACCTGGATTATTCTATTTATACCCCACCAATCCATTCCAGGGCAATTTCCCCGGAAGAACCATCATCTAGTCTTAACATCCATGGCGTCCCTATTCCATGATAACGTGCACCGTCCTCTTGAGAGGTATCGCCAGACACGGACAAAGCAAAATACAGGTGAAGAGCAGAGCTCACTTACTGGCACGAAGCTGTCCTTGCGGAGACAGACAATGTCGCCCACATGTATGTCCTTCCACTGCTTCTTGCGGAATCTATGACAAACAAAGACAAAACATAACCTTGTATTCTCAAGGGGGCAGAGGAGACCCGTCCTTCTGTCTGTTGTCGTTCCCCTTGTAAAAATTTAAACTGTGGTCTGCCTCTGGAGAAAGGGGCTCTGGGGTACCCAGTGATGGCAACTGACAACACCTTCAGAGTGCGCACGACATCTAAGTAACTTGCGGAACTCCCTGCCACAAGACATATAGTGCTGGGAGGAGGACTGAATGCATCTTTTACGGTTCTCCCTGAACCCACCCCAAACCATCCTGTTCCTGGCAAACACAGGGCAGGCGATGCTCCACTTGGTAGTGGTTATGCCTCAGCAGGGCTTTTTTTGTAGAAAAAGCCCAGCAGGAACTCATTAGCATATTAGGCCACACCCCATGCCTTCCCTTGGTTTGCCTGGGTGCCCCGCGGCTGTGGGGAGCCCAGGCAAACCAGCCCTTGGAGCCCAGGCAAGCCAGCCCTTGGACAAGCCGGGGAAGGCACGGGGAGGCATTTAAATGCCTCCCCGATCCTTCCAGGCCCCCCTGGCCCGCCTGCCTCAGAGTAGCGGGGGGGGGGCTATTGCTCTCCAGGCCTTCCCTCTGTAGCCACACACGCAGAGGTTTTGGCTGTAGTGGGCGTGGCCAACTCTGAAGCCAGCCGGAACTCCGTTCCTGTGCGTTCCTGCCCAAAAATAGCCCTGTGGAAAGTGCCGTCAAACAATGTTCCCTCCAAGCTGTGGAGTCTTGTGAGCCAAAATTCTACTTTGTGAGCTACTGGCGTTAAAGTTGTGAGCGAGCGATTTGGCTGCTGCATAAATTAGTTTGCTCTGGAGCCCCTCCTTCCTGAGCCGAGACAAAAATGTGTGAGCCGGAGGCTAAAAAACTGTGAGCTAGCTCACACTAACTCAGCTTAGAGGGAACACTGGTCACAACCAACTTATGATGACCCCCGTAGTGTTTTCAAGGCAAGAGACTACAGGACTGGGCTAGCCTGGACTATCCAGGACAGGGGAGACGTGGTTTGCCGTGGCCTGCCCTTGCATCGCAACCCTGGACTTCCTTGGTGGACTCCCATCCAAATACTAAGCAAGGCCAACCCTGCTTAGCTTCTGAGATCAGACCAGATCAGGCTAGCCTGGCCCATCCAGGTCAGGGCAGAGGTGGTTTTGCCATTGCCTGCCTCTGCGTAGCGACCCTGGACTTCCTTGGCGGTCTCCCATCCAAGTACCAAATGGGGCCGACCCTGCTTAGCTTCCGAGATGTGATGAGATTGGCCTTGGCTGGGCCACTAGGTCAGGGTAATGCCTCAGTCCGTGTATAAAATCGGCCATTGATCTCCTTTTGACAGATGCAACTGGAGGAGGAGGAGACTGGATTTATACCCCGCCCTTCACTACCCAAGGGAGTCTCAGAGCAGCTTACCAACTCCTTTCCCTTCCCCTCCCCACAACAGACTCCCTGTGAGGTTAAAGAAGAAGAAGAGATTGGATTTATACCTCGCCCTTCACTACCCAAGGGAGTCTCAGAGCAGCTTACCAACTCCTTTCCCTTCCCCTCCCCACAACAGACTCCCTGTGAGGTTAAAGAAGAAGAAGAGATTGGATTTATACCTCGCCCTTCACTACCCAAGGGAGTCTCAGAGCAGCTTACCAACTCCTTTCCCTTCCCCTCCCCATAACAGACACCCTGTGAGGGAGGGGGGGCTGAGAGAGCTTTGCTAGAAACGGCTCTTTTTCAAGGACAGCTCTTATCAGAACTACGGCTTGCCCAAGGTCATCCAGCAGGTGCAAGTAGAGGAGGGGGGACTCAAACCCGGTTCTCCCAGATTAGAGTTCACGCACTTAATTACCACACCAAACTGGTAAAGAGTCAACAAGGAGAGTAGAGAGACGGCTACAGGTACCGGATATACAGGACGGGAGCCATTGCTCGCTGGATGGGAATGCTATGAGTAGTCTCTTGCCATTAATAGTAATGTGCCGTAGATTCAGGACAGACAACAGGAAGTCCTGCTTGGCTCAACAGCAAATCCATATGTGGAATTCACAGCCCCAGAATGTGGTGACGGATGGTTTTAAACAGGGATTAGAGAAATTCATGGAGGAGGAGAAGTCCATCAACAGCTTTGGGCCACAATGGCGACATGTGTGTGAATTCGCACAAGTTGCAGGCGACTTAACGGTGATCCCTCATTTCAAGGCAAGAGATGCACAGAGGTGGTTCGCCCTTGCCTGCCTCTGAGCGGTGACCCTGGACTACCTGGGTGGTCTCCCATCCAAATACTAACCAGGGTCGACTCTTCTTGGCTTCCGAAATCTGACAGAACTTCCATATTCAAAGGTAATGTGCCTCCATATACCAACAGGGGGCATAATGATAGTCTCTCCCCCCACCCAGCCCATTTCCTCGTCCTCCTCCACATTTCCGAGCCCAGTCAGGTGCAGAGATTGGCGGGGGGGGGCAGTCTGAGGGAAGGGAGTCTGCTCTCCAAAGTAGCCATTTCTTCCAGGGTGATGCTCTGTATTATTGGGGCTTGGGTGGGGGCAACACTGGGAGGGCTTCCGGAGTTCTGGTCCTGCTGGTGGACCTCCTGATGGCACCTGGGTTTGGGCCAGTGTGTGACACAGAGTGTTGGACTGGATGGGCCACTGGCCTGACCCAACATGGCTTCTCTTATGTTCTTACTTATGTTCTTATTTAGGGCCCCTGAGCACTGCTTATGGGATTTCCAGGGTCTACCAGGGATTTCCATCCCGTTGTCTACTGTGGAAAAACAGTGAACCCTGGGGCTGAGCCATCAGGGGTTTTGGTATGTTCTGTGGTCTCTGCTTATGTTCAGAGACACTCTGCCTTTTGCAAAGATGTCTTGAAATACACACACACACACACACACACACATACATATATAGCTGCAGCTGCTTCAGTGCCACCTTTGTAAAAAAAAATGATGTGATCCCAGCCAATCAGGAATCATATAGTGAATGAAATGACAGCATGACCATCGCTGGCCAATCGGATTTGGCTGCAGGATGATGTCATGAAGCCAGTTCAGAACGAGGCAAAGGGCCTCACTCTGAATGAGTGTTGGGAAGGAAGGTTTCATAGGGACATTTTCCTGGGGGTGGGGGAAGGGAATATATTTGCTGCCAGTCTCTCGGTATATTTTGGTTCAGCCCTTCCCTCACCTTCCCCCGGTCAAGATCTCACAGGGCCGGCTGTTGATTTCCCCATCGCTCCGGTGCCGTGCCTGAGAAGCAAAAGGGAAAAAATGAATTCTTCCCTATCAATGTTTGTGTCCTTATAGCTCTTGCTGTTCTGCTAGCCGCTCCTAGTCTGAGGAGATATGCATTTATTCATACATTCATACATATTCATAAATAAATGAATAAAATGAATATTTTGTACCATTTCCTGTGTTCTGCTCCTCAACTTATATATTGTTGTGTCATTAGTTGTTCCCGGGCAGGGGGGAAACAGTGCCAAAATGAGGGGGGATGTCAGCAGCGTCCCGACAAGCTGACATCATTTCTGGTGCACACAGGAAGTGAACTCTGGGCAATGTCAGGGCATCACCAGTGAGGTCCCCGCCACACCCAGGAAGTCCCCCCACCCCCGATGATTGACAGGAAGGACCCAGCAACCCAATTGCACACTGTTTTTCTGATGTTTTGTTTGGCCCCTGTAGTGTATTCAAAGCTGCCTTGAATGCATGATATGTTGTGAAACATCTAATTGAAGTGTAATGTAAAGCTTCGTCCTGGGCTAGGATCCAAATCCATCCAATCGTGTTACTAGCCCAGGAAGCACCTAACCAATCACCTTCTAGCAAGCTCCCTGAGCGGGAACATCCGTGATTGGTCCTTATGTGAACAACCTTATTGGTTGGTATTTGTACAGTGGGTGTGGCTACATTAGCCGGGAATGTTTAAAAGCAGGACAGCCGCAATGTAAAGGCTGTTCTGGCTATCCGATGTTGATCCGTGTTGGAGTTGTGTTCGAGTGGAAGAATAAAGTTGTGTTCTTGCTGAATCACTCTCCGACTGCTTTGTTAAGCGAGCGACTTAGCAGCCCCAATCAAAGTTCTTACTCCATTTTTGCATCTGGAATTTTCCTGTGGGTTAAAATTCCTGATAGCAAATGAGCAGTAAAGTTCTCCCCACTCTTTGCTATATTGGGTTGCTAGGCCAAACCTGGCAACCAGCAGGAGGGTTGGGAGTGGCAACGCTGCTACATCACTTCCAGGTTTTCCCAAAGTGTAGCTCTAGAAATTACTAGATCCTCTATGGGAAAATCATAGAGTTTCCAGCGATTCCTAGAGCTATCCTATGTCATTCCCTGGTCTGCCCCCCCCCCCGAAAGCGATGTAGCAACCTCAACAACATCACCGTTTTGTTTTTAAATTTCTCCAATTTCTGCCAGACTTCCTGGCATAGCAGGAGGCCTGACAATCCTATCCTGATAAGAACCACGGTAGAGACAGACAGCTTAGCAAGGTGGGAAACCCTGCAACTACTTCCTTCCTTCACAGCCTTTTTGGGTTGGATACAGAGGTTTCTTGGTCAAAAGGCAGCCAGCTTCGACAAGAACTGCTGAGGAGTCGAGGTAGAACAGATAAAAGGAAGTCCTTCTTCACCCAAAGAGTGATTAACACATGGAATTCACTGCTACAGGAGGTGGTGGCAGCTACAAGCATGGATGGCTTCAAGAGGGAATTAGATAAGCATATGGAGCAGAGGTCCATCAGTGGCTCTTAGCCACAAGGTATAGATAGGGACTCTCGGTATGGGGCAAGGGATGCTCTATATTCTTGGTGCTTGGGGGGGCAACAGTGGGAGGGCTTCTAGTGTCCTGGCCGCACTGGTGGACCTCCTGATGGCACCTGGTATTTTTTGGCCACTGTGTGACAGAGTGTTGGACTAGATGGGCCACTGGCCTGATCCATCATTGGCGTCTCTTATGTTCTTAAACTACAGCCTCAAAATGAAACTGGTACTCACAATGTCATCGATTAAGTCCCGGATGCCTCGGATGCTGAGAAGGATGCTGATCGGGAACAGGAGGGCGAACCAAGGCAGAGTGGAAATCTCCGGGATACTCTAAAACGAAGGGGAAGCTATTTGGGTGGGTGTGATAATCAGGGCGAAGTTGCGAGGGATGGCTTCATCCACCTGTTCTTCAATGGCATCTCGGTCCCTTGTGTGGGTACCATATCAAAAAGAGGGCAAAAGCGTTCAACCATGAAAAGAAGAGGAGGAGGTGGCCTCATCGGCCAGCGTCACCCATGATACCATGAAGGAACCCTTTTGCTCTCCATCAGCTCAATCTGAGGTGCCCAACCTTTTTGAGCCTTTGGAATTCTGACAGAGGGTGGTTATGTGATCTCTGATTGGTTGGAGGAAGAAGGAAGGGGGAAAGAAGTTGCAACCAAAGCCCCCCCTCCCCTACACAAAATTGCGTTCCAGGGTGTGGGAGACGAAGACTAGCAAACAAGACTGGAAAGAAGACAAGAAGAAGATATTGGATTTATATCCCGCCCTTCTCAGAGCGGCTTACAATCTCCTTTCCCTTCCCCTCCCCACGACAGACACATTGGGGAGGGGGAGGGGAGGGGATTGTGAGACTCCTTCGGGTAGTGAAAGGTGGAGTACAAATCTGATTTTTTCTTCTTCTTTTTCCCCACAACGGACACCCTGTGAGGTAGGTGGGGCTGAAAGAGCTCTCTTGAGAACTGCATTTGATAGAACAGCTCTGAAAGAACACGACTGACCCAAGGTCACACCAGCAGCTGCATGTGGAGGAGTGGGGAATCAAACCCAGTTCTCCCAGATTAGAGTCTGCGCTCCTAACCACTACACCAAACTGGCTTTTGCCATCAAGGTGGCCATAATGAGGTCTCCATGAAAGATTGTTTGTGTCCCCCACAAAAGCTACATTTGACATGAAGTCAACATAGATGTAGCCCTAACCTGCATGCTCAACATTTCCAAGCTTGGGGCAGATGGCAGAGCCAGAGTCCCAAATCTGCTAGGAACACGATACCCTGCAAAGGCATCCGCTCCCAAAGCCCACCCAAAGGCTACCGCAAGCAGCTGGCTAGTCAGTTCTCACCTGTAATAAAATGACGTGCAAGAAATAGAGATTTGCCACACGGTGAAATTGTTCATACAGGTTGAGAGGGAGGAAAGTGAGGACGTTGTACTTGGCCGTCTTGATAGAGTTGCCCTGGAGGAAAATTAGCGGATCTGAGCACACTGTGCCAAAACTCTGCACTGAGACATTCTGCCGATGAAATTAGTTAGGCCAATGCTGGTTTTGTTTCTGATGGGCGTCAAACCCCCCCCCACACACACACACACCTTTCTGGGAGTGTAACCCCTAGCTCCAGGGGTCATTTTGCAGAAAAAGAGGTGCAGGAGCTCATTAGCATAACTTATTTGCATATGCCACACCCCCTGACATCACCGAAAGTGTGTCAAAAGGCAACACCCACCACTCAGGCTCCACTGGACTGTTTTGGATTGCTAGCTATTGAGGGGGGGGGAACGTGCAGATCTGTCCTCGCAGAGGAGGGAGAGCTTGTACCCGAATAAAATTTTGTCTTAAAAGTGCCACTGGACTGTTTTGGATTGCTAGCTATGGGGGGGGGGGATGCACAGATCTGCCCTCACAGAGGAAGGAGAGCTTGTACCTGAAGGCGGGGGGGGGCCTCTGCAACTTACCTGGCTGCTTCTTGCTCCTCGTGGCCTGACTGAGGGCTGCTGGGAGTGGGGCTTGTTGCATGTGCCCGCCCCCTGAGCACCTTACCGCTCCTGTGCACTCCCACAGGAAATGACCCCTGCCTAGCTCAGAGGTGTTGAACTCATTTGTTATGAGGGCCGGATCTGACATCAATGTCACTTTGTTGGGCTGGGCCACATGTGCCACAAATTGTAATGCTGGTTACCAGATATAGAAACTGCATAAAGGACAGCAGCTGGTAAGCTCCAAGTTGGTGTATCCTCACTGCAAGGCCCCATGGGCTGGGAGGGGGGTGCAGAGGAAAACCCACATGGGTGGACTGGAGAGCCAGCGGTGCGGCACTGGGCAGATGCTCCCACACTGCTTAACTGCTGCAGACGTGGTTGTTCCGCCACGCGGAAGCCACAATTAGAGTGTTTCCACCCACTCCCCCCTGAGCAGTCTCCTGTTCCCTCTCTTGCACTAGTTGCTCACGGGCCGTATAAGAGCCCTGGACGAGCCACTTCCAGCCCCCAGGACTTATGTTTGACACCCCTGACCTAGCTAGTAATGGGATGAGCCAGGAAGGGTAACGCCTCTCGATGCAGAAAGGTGCAGACTGTGTGGAAATCAGAGGCGAGAAGCAAGACTGCCCTGCTGGGGAGCTTAAACCTTAATCCGTAGACTCTTAACGGCTTGTTTAAGGTAACCATGATTTGTGAATGAAAACTGGCAAGGGAGAGAGACTTTGACGGCATATTGGAAGCGTCCGAATAACGAGAGTTTCAGGTTGCTGTGTTGAAGCTATATACAGTGGTTTTATTTACAGAATATTTACAGACAGTCCATACCACCTTGCAGTCTCCAAATCACGATATTGTCCGACAAGGTGCTTCGCAGTAAACTCATTCACAAGTGTGAACACTTACATCAGGACTGTTCCCCTTATATACAAACTGGCACCAATCAGAGTCCAGTGCTGACTCATGGTGTCCATTAATTAAGCTGATGCAACCTAGTTGCAATCTGTACCTGGTGACACTGTCACATGACAGTTTAACCTGTCACCATAGATCAGGATGATCTAACTCAATCATACCTGGCTGTCATCTTGTCCAGATACAATTATAGTATACTGTCAGACTTCTGTTCTAAACTGTCATTTTAGAATTATTGTTTCAGGGCTGTGTTATCTAGTGGGGAGTTTATTTGGGAGGACCCTCCTCTTGGAAGCTGGCACACAGAGATTTCAGCTGGAGACTTCTTGGGCCAACAATACAAGGAAAGAGATGGACTTTGGGAGTGGCAAGCCGTGAAGGAGGGAAAGGTTAATTGTTTGGACTTTAAAAGATCACTCTTCTGTTGTGTTACTAAGATCTATGTTTTTCTTACACGATGCGATGTTAAGTGGAAAGTAAAAATGGTTTATTTTCTTTGAATTATTACAAGCAGGGGTCATTTCCTGCAGGAGCGCACAGGAGCAGAGCTCCGGCAGTAAGGAGCCCAGGGGGCAGGCACATGCAACAAGGCCCGCCCCCTGCTCCCAGCAGCCCTCAGTCGGGCCACAAGAAGCAGCCAGGTAACTTGCAGAGCCCCCCCCCCAGCCCGCCTTCAGATACAAGCTCTCCCTCCTCTGTGAGGGCAGATCTGCGCATTCCCCCCTCCCATAGCTAGCAATCCAAAACAGTCCAGTGGCACCTTTAAGACCAAGTTTTATTCAGGTACAAGCTCTCCCTCCTCTGCGAGGACAGATCTGCACGTCCCCCCCACAATAGCTAGCAATCCAAAACAGTCCAGTGGAGCCTGAGTGGTGGGTGTTGCCTTCTGACACACTTCCGGTGATGTCAGGGGGTGTGGCACATGCAAATAAGTTGTGCTAATGAGCTCCTGTACCTCTTTTTCTACGAAATACCCCTGATTACAAGATTCATTCCAAGTTCTGCCCCACAGAATCCACAAACTGAGATTACACATGCATGCCTACTGGTCGATCTGAAATGCTCAATGGGTTTTGGCGAGCATTCAACAGTGTTAGCTGTTGTAGATTTTCCGGGTTGTCTGGCCGTGGTCTTGGCATTGTTGGACTTGACGTTTCACCAGTAGCTGTGACTGGCATCCTCAGAGGTAGAACACAAGAAGACGGAGTACTCTCTGTGTCAAGCCTTCGACAACATATTCAACAGTGTGCTTAGAAAAGGACTGCACTTTTCTGTCCATGCAGTCACAGCTCTAAAGTTACACAAATAACTTCCCACTGGGGGTTCTTTAGGCTCAGGGGGAAAGCTGGGGGCGAAGGAGGAGCTCCCTCCTCCACCCACGCCGTCAATCATCAGCAAAATCAGCTTCTGAGGCTTAAAAAGCAGCATTCTTGGAGCTGGCGTTTGACTCTGATCAAGGTGGTAAACCTGGATGCACCTTGTACACCAATGTATAGCTTAGCCCTTGAACTGTAGACCAGAAGGTCGGTAGCTTGGCAGTCTGAGACCCTAGTGCCGTGTGAGCTCCCGTCTCTGGCCCCAGCTCCTGCCAACCTAGCAGTTCAAAAGCAAGAAACTGCAAGTAGATAAATAGGTACCACTTCGGTGGGAAGGTAACAGCGTTCCGTGCACCTCGGCGCCTAGTCATGCCGGCCACATGACCATGGAAACGTCTTCGGACAGCGCTGGCTCTTCGGCTTGGAAACAGAGATGAGCACCGCATCCCTAGAGGTTGATTCGACTGGCTTTCGAGCAAGGGAACCTTTCCCTTTACCTTACCTAAGGATTTAAAACCAGACTTCCCAGGCTCTAACCACTACACAATATTGACGCTCTAATCATCCTCATGACGTAAGATGGAGTGGACAAGAAGGTTTATACACATCTCACAAGCAACTGGCAAATTTTCAGATTTCTATTTTTTTTTTAATTACTCATTGTTATATATTGCTTCCAGAACTGAATTTTGAGGGAAGGTAGAGGTGTGGAGAGCAGAAATCCGCCCCGCCCCCGTAAGACTCCAGGAATTCTTCCTTACCGCATATTTTTTCTTTTTCAGACAGTAGGCGTACCTCTTCCGGAATTGCTCGTGATAAGCCCGGTCATTCGCTTTCACGATCCAGGTGAAATCTGGGGAAATACAATGGCCGTCACTGAAGGAAGGTCTCAAATTCTCAAGATATCATCCCTGCCAGGAAGGGTCAGCCTTTTCAAAAGTATTTCTCTGAAACCCCAGTTTCTCCCACCAGTCCCAGTTGAGGGAAGACGTTATGGGACCTGGGTTTGTTCATGGAGGGGGGAGGGGTGACAAAAAAAGAAAGCATTGATATCTCCAGCCCACCGAAGGAAGGAAGGAAGGAAGGAAGGAAGGAAGGAAGGAAGGAAGGAAGGAAGGAAGGAAGGAAGGAAGGAAAAACAACAAAAAGGAAGGAAGGAGGGAAGGAAGGAAGACATTCAGACACGACTCCCAGACCCCCCAATCACCTATAACCATAGACAAGTATAACTTAAAATTGATGTAGGGTTTAATTCAACAAAGAGGCACGGGAAATCAAGGCAGAACACACCCATGCAGAACTCAGACTTAGGTTGCGATCACACACACCTTTAGATCCAACATAGGTGTGAATGCCTGATGGATCTAAAGCGTGCAATCAGACCACAACATCTGGGAAGCATCCCGCAGTCATCAGCAACCCGTGCTGCTCCGCTACGGAAGCAGAGTTAAAAGACACCGGGGAAAGTCCAGTAGTAAACGGGTTCCAACGAGCCACGGACGGACTTTCCCCTGTCTGATCACGCAAGCACGCTCTTGTGCCGTCGGGATGGTCTGATCAGGCCCTCCAAGCTCGGTGCCGTCCCCCCCCCTTCACAGTATGCGCATTATCGCATACTCCACAGGGGGCCCTCAGTGCGGAGGTGCGATTCCTCATCTATGTGCATGGCAAACAAACAGCCAAAAAAAAAAACCCCGACTCACTTGCAGTTGCGTCCAGTGTTCCCTCTAAGGTGAGTTAGTGTGAGCTAGCTCACCAGTGACGGTCTGAGCCCACAGCTACAAAGGGAGGTGTGATCTCGCAACTGTGTGTCAAATTCCTCCAGAGGAGAAAGCCTCACTTCCCCTCCGCTCCAAGTGGCACATCTGACCGCAGCCTTAGCATGACTTAAAGCTGGAACCCAAGAGGGAAATACCTGGAGATTTTGGGGGTG